TGCATAAAAATTTTATTACTTTATTATAACCCCTCCCTTCTGGTCAGCCTTTAAAATATGAATTTAGGCAATGAGATTGAATTCATAACAGATGGATTTTGAGGACACAGAGCAAGCAGGAGATCACAGTATGACTGGGCCACAAAATACAGAGCACAGAATGGGATTCACCCCTAACTCAGCACATTGGCAGCCCCAGAGTCCCCTGAAGCCTATGAGATTCCTCCTTGATAACAGGACAGGATCTCCCTAATGTTTCTCTACCAACGCTTAGTATTATTTTGTTTAGGTGGAGTTTTGCTGCCATCTAATGGTCTTTCCATAATATGACATTGTTAGGATTTTAGAAGCTGCATCTCAAGGAGTCTTGACTACACACACGAGAACCATAGACTGCATCCTTGTTTCTCTGGTGTGAAAAGCTATAATAGTATATAAGATCCTAATGAGATAATAGACCATGTAAAATAGGAAGAAAAGGGCTAAAGGTGTAGGGAAAATGGGAAGGGTAGGGGAAAGGTAATAAGGGAAAAGAGAAAAATATGAGAAAATGAAAAAAATGGAAATAAAGTGTTTGTAAATGGGGAGGGGAGAAGGGAGTGAAGGGAGGGCAGGGACAAGGGGGGAAAAATGAGAACCAAGACCTGTCATGTAAAGGTACAGGATCCCAGTAATGAATGCAATTGTACTGCATACCTAAAATGTACCAATAAACTCAATAAAAGAAAAAAAAAATACCTTATCTTTTAGCCCAGAAATCTTTAGAACTACTTCAGAAAGGTTTAGAGAACTTGCCAGAGAAGTCCTGGAAAGATGTAACCAGACCCAGACAGGTGAATCTGGGTGAAGCTCAGAAGTACAGAATGTGGACAGAAATGTGAATAAGGCCAGGCACAGGAGGTTTCAGTTTAGAACAAGAATTTCATTGACAGTTGCACTATTGTATATGATTGCTACTCTCTGGAAGAAAAATGTGTCTACGTTTTGCACCTGTCTCAAGACAAAACTATTGGCCCATAATGGTGTAGGTTCTGTGTAAGATACAAGAAAGCAAGATTCAGGTTGGTGGACTACTTGATCTGGTGGGGGAAATTTAAAGGCATGATTTGAAGGCATGTCAACCTTCAGGCTGTGGCTTGGGTACTGCTGGCTGCCTTTACACAGATGTATGTAGCTAGGAGCAAAAAAAGAAAAAAAGAGCAGAAAATTTTGAAAAACTTGAAGTTTGGTCTGACAAGTATTTGTAAGTCTATGGCCAATGAAGGTATGGATGCTGAAGAGATTAGCACCATTAAAAAGAAACCAAATGATTTGTATAAGAACAAGAAGAAAGATGTTTTGAAGTCATCTCAGAAATCAGCAAAACTTGCAATCTCATTGGGTGCAAAAATATAAATTTATATGATAGGAAAGCCCATGGTTCCCCTTGGGAAGAGCCACCAAAGAAACTGGTTTTCTGGAACTTATTTACAGCATTCAGACATCTAGGTATTCACTGCCTGCCCAAGCCAAGTCCAAGTAGGCCTGACTATTGCTTCTCCTTTTAACAGATCTTGATCTTGTGCTATCATAGAGTCATTCGCTTTTATTTCAAAGGAAAGAGCTGGAGGCCAGGAAAGGAATCCCTAACAGAGCAGTATATGAAGGCATGGGAATGAGGTCACAGGTTCACAAGAATTCCTGACAGTAAGAGATGCCACAACATGAGAAGCCACAGATGTAAGTCAAGGCAGACCACATGGGCGACAACCAGTAATGCCATGGGATGGACCCACCCAAGCCCCTGGAAATCACATTTTACCACCATGTGTCCCAGAGCTGTATAGGGAGCCACAAGAGTTAATGTTTTCCCTGTTTGGTGTTTGTCTTACATTGGTTCAATTCTTTTCTCTCTATTCCTTCTTTATACCATGGGAAGGCTTACCATGTGACATTGTTATTTGGGGTTATGTAGTTTTTTCTTTTATTTTTATAGCGGTTCACAGCTAAAAATTTGCCTTGAATCTCACAAGAGAATTTGACTTAGACTTTTGCAAATTGCTGTTACTGTGGACTCTTTTCAGTTGCATGCAAGAGAGATGCATCATGTGCAGAATTATAAACAATTTATTGTGTTTGTTTGGAGGTTAAGTATGGTTTTAAAAGATGTGCCATGAACTAAGCAGCTTGTCTCTATCACAATGATTCTACCACAGCCCAACCAATACTGGGCTTACCCCTCTAAAATTGTGAAACAAGTTAAATTTCTCCCCTTTTCAGATGCATGTGTAGGGTTTTGTGTACTTTTGATGGAAAGTGACTAATACAAAGTGTTTTTCCTACAAGCCAGGCAAAATCTACAGCCACTGAAGACTGGGAAAGTTAAAGGATTCTTCCTACCAATGCAGAGACAGCACAAACTGGTAGCAACTTAGTTTCAGAGCCCCTGCCTCCTGAGCTATGAGAATATGTTCACAATGTTTAAGACTAAGTTTGTGGAACTTGTTAAGACAACTCTGAAATACAAATATACCCACTTTCCGAAAAAGGAAACACGGAGTGCCTGAAAATCAGTAAGAATGAGAAATGTATTGGGGTTTCTTTTATTATAATCCGGGTGCAGAAAATATTACCTTTAAAATGTACTACTTAATGTGCTCAAATGTCATAGAGCATTGCCAATGTCTTTGAAATGAATATAAAATCTTTTATCGCTTCCATTTTGGTAGCTTGTTTAGTGTCATAGTCTATTGATAGAAATGCTAAAATAAGGTATAAATTCTTTGCTGGTCAGGAAAATTCCAGTTCTACCTATTGAAATTATGAAACTTCTTAATTTCCTGTATGTTAACTTACCATGCTATAGTCTGACAGTAAGCCTAAGGAGCAGACAAAATCAGTCACACCATAGTGGGAACAAACAAGGAGATGTTTTAAAGAGGTATGAGAGTAGTTTTGCTTGCATCCAGGTAGTGTGGGGATTTCTCTTTGCCTTTAACTGTGACCATTATTAACTGCATGAAAAAGGACCTAGCTGCATAGGGTTTTACTATAGTGTTATCTATAGATGCTACTAGGTTGAAGCTCATAAGACTGCAGCTGGTATATAATTTGCATGACCTAGAAACTGTTGTCAGTGAACCTGCAAGTGTGGTCTATGGTCACCGTCTGTGCTTCAGAGTGTGAAGCACTCTGTAGTAGTGCACATGTGCCAGGCTGTGTTTTGAAGATTTTATCAGTCAAAATAGCCCAAACCTACACTGTTTGGGTCAAGATTAGAAACATACAGAAAAGTGTTCCTATTCTGACCATCAAAGGAGATTTTTTTTTCTGATTAAACATCTGAGTTGGTCTTTTGTGAGGCTTGAGACAAATGTGCCTGGCAGAGAAAGCTCCTCCAAACATAGGACGTCAGGAGTAGATTCCTGATCACTTAGGCAACTATGAATCAAGTCTGTTATGTCTTCTATGTGCAGTGGTGCCTCACTTCACTAATGTAGCTTGTTCTAAGATTCTGGGGAGATGGCTGTGGTTGTGTTTGTGACCAGCTGTGGGGTTCATTAGTGGACCAAAATTTTGGCAAATGCTTCTGTTTGCAATCCTAATTGTTCACAAATGGAAGTGTTCATGAACCAAGGTATCACTGTAATTGCAAATTGCCTGTCACTAGAGGATAAATGTCTGGGTATTCTAGGGTATGAAAAGCTTGGAGAATGGTATGTATATGATTATCTTTTATGTTTAAATGCTGTCTCTAAATACTGTGAGATATCTATGTTTATATTCTTATTTTTTATGGATTGTTGAGACCTCATTCTCCCTCTCACTGACCCGTAAATATTTTGAACTGAAGTAAATTTTTGAGCTTTTTAAAGTAGCCTGAAGTCAATAATAAAAAATTTTAAAAAGAACTGAAAACTGTGAAAATGTGATAGATACTTAGAAAGGCCTTAGGAACCCCTCTTAGCCTGCCCCTCGGAAACCAGGTGGGACTTTTACCCAAAGTGGCTGACATTCTCATATTCTGGTATCCTAGAAAGCCCAAGTGAAATTGTAAATTCATAACTGTTTTATGTAATCTCTTTGAGGAAGCCCAATTGCACTGAAAACATTTAGAAAAAAAATGAAGAAATAAATACAGGGAGGTTTCTGTTGATTATATGAAGAAATTAAAGCAAGTTTTTACTTGTCAATAATACACTTGGTTATTCAACTAAAAGTACATCTCTTACATCTTAATTCTAAGGTCTATTAAATAATTTGGCTTGGATTCAAAGTCCTTTCAGAGATGTAAATGAAAATGGTATGTACAAGAGAAATAGTTTTAAAACAATTACCCCAAAGCAAACATTTGAAGAAAAGAAAGAACAATTATGGCATAAATTTATTAAACATCCCCATAGTATTAAAAACAAGAATAGAATTATAATGAAGAAATAAAACTGCATAAACATGCCTATTGATATTTTGACTTGAGTGTCTCATAGCGTGACCAAGGTGAATGAAAAGGAACAGACAATTACTGAGTGTGGTTGTATAACTGTAATCTCAGCTCTTTAGGAGACTGAGGCAAGAGAATACCAGGTTCAAGTCTATCTTGGGAAATTAGATGGACTTTATCCTCAGATGTGATCCCACCATCAAACTTTGGACCTTGCTATAATGTAGTAGAAAAGAAATTTGGTCGACAAGAAAATTTATATGAAAACATGGGAAACTTTCTGGGGTCTCTGATAAGATTATGGTTAACACCTGTAGGTTCATTTTTCACTACTTAGAGTTGCTTTACATTCATGTTTCTAAGCACTCCTTTATAAATTATTCAAAATATCCTCCAAAACAAGGTCGATGAGTGGGAGTGTATATATATTTCTCTTACTTGTGGAATCTAGAAGAACATGAAGTTCAAGAAATATATTATTAGATGAGAAGAAGTGAATAAATGGGAGGGGAAAGAGGGTATAAGACAGGGTAAAGCGGGTGATGGATGTGATCCAACTATGCTGTATGCATATATGAAAATACCACATTGAAACAATATAATTGTAAAATTAATATGAGCTAATAAAAATACTTAATGAAAAATATCTTACATACCAATAAGATAAGAATAATTCAAAACATCTATTATACTGTTAACATCAGAAAACAATGGTAGAAAAGAGTGTTAGGTGATCTAAAATTTTAGAAAGAATAAGAAATTCATTTTATTTGTGTTTCTGTCTACCTGATATTGGCATTTTTCTCTCCTCTCATATTTATCAAATTTGCACACAGGCAATAGCTTTGACTTGGGACAGAATTAAAAAATTAAAGGGGAATAGAAGCTAGTTCAGCTCTGAAGGTTGCCCAAGGCAAGTTATAACACAGGGCCTGTTTCTCCAATGGACATTTCCTGAGATCTGATTCAGGAAAGACTGGGTCTTCTGGAGTAGAAGGATGAAAATCACCACATATGATGAATGTGTACCTGACCCATAGATCTCCACCCACCCTGCGCCTCTGTTGTTGCTCATCTGGATGGATTTTCTGGTCAATATGTCATTGTTATGTCTCCACAGTCTCCAACCACGTGTTCTCTCCTGGGTGACTTCCTGGGGCAGAATGAGTTTCAGAATCTCCCTTTGGCTGTATTGGGTTCAACAAGAAAAGTACAATAGGACCACAAGACTGTGGACAGGAATTTCAGACAGATTCACCTAAAGTTAAGTGGTACAGAATGTGACCTCTACTATCTTTATGGAATGAGACCGCGAGTTGTACACAAAGGAAGAAATTGGGATAATGAAAATATCTGCTTCCAAAAATTACCAAATAATATGCTATTAAAAGTATATGTAAGATGGGGAGGGGACGGTGAAGGGAGGGCAGGGGTAAGGGGAAAAAATGAGAATCAAGACTTGTCATGTAGAGGTACAAGATCCCAACAATGAATGTAACTCTACTGTATCCCTAAAATGTACCAATAAACTCAATTAAAGCTGAAAAAAAAGTATATGTAGTTGGGTATGATGATTCACAACTGTAATCTGAGAACTATGAGCAGTTGAAGGAGAAGGATTGCAAATTCAGACCTAGTCCTGGCATCTTAGGAACTAATTAGTGGGAATCTGTGTTAAAATAAGCTTTTCAGACCAACAAAAATTATAAGCAAAATAAGTGAATAAATAAATAAATCTGAGTACTCTGAATGGCAGAGACAGGAAGATCAAAATTTGAGCCTAGCTTCAACAGCTAAGTGATTAGTGATGATCCATCATAAAATTTTAAAAATTAAAAAAGGGCTGGGTGTGTTGTAGGAGAAAAATAGCTACCTTGCATGCAATGATAAACTCTAGCTTCCTCAGCCTTCACCCTGCCTATTTTAAGCGTAAAATCTGTTCCAGACCCACTTCCACTCAACCTGTCTAGGACCCCAGAGACCCAATTGGATACCACATAGATCAGGAGCTTCAGAGACTGGTTTGGTTTTTCCAGAAACCAATTCAAATAGGCATTTCCATCACTATTACATAAGAGGCTCTGACTGGACTTGCAGGAGATGGAGGCTGGCTCTCCAGGGGTGACAGGCAGTAACAGTGGAGTCTGTGACATCACAATATCCCCATGGGATCCTGAAATAATGAGAGAACTGAAAGGTCATGTGAAAAACTTTGAATGATTTTCACAATTTTCCTCTTGTTATTTATTATAGGCTACATAACTTTTTTATAATTTTGAAGTACATACCAGATATATTTAATTTTTATAAAGAACTCAACACTTTCAGACCCTAGGGGCCTGGAGAATTTGTCCACACCAATCCTCTCTGTTTCAGTCTTCATCAGCATACAAGTCCTGGCTCCTTCTTTGATCTTTGTCACTTTCACAGATGGAAACAGCACATATGCCATCCTAATGGATAAGCAGCTCATCTCACTCATGCACAGAACGTACATAGGCAGCTGTGGGGCCACAGAACCCACCCTCTGACCTCATCACCCTGGGTCTTTACCAGGGATGCAAAGCATCAGCAGCCCCAGGAGCTGAGCAGGGAGCCTCATTTCGAGCTGAACTGAGGAAACGTGGTAAGTCAAGGCAAGAGGGCAGATGAACTTTTATCTCAGTCTTGCAGAGCAGGTCCTCCCTGGGGGACACTATGCCAATTCCCTAGTGGTGCAGCTGTGTGAGAAACAAAAAGAGAAAAAAGCTAGTGCAAAAGTGGAAAGGGACAATGGAAGGGCCTCTCCTGTGAGCAAAGTGACATCTGTGTTTCAGGAAAAACTCAGAGATTCAATCATTGTTTTACACCAATAAGAATGAGTTTCCATGCATATTTGGTGTTTCTTATTTCCTTTTTAGATGTGATCTATCTAAACTTTTTTGTAAGATAAAACACATACAGTGTACAGAGCACAGGCATTTAATGTGCAATAATATAGTTTTATGTACAGTAATGATTCAGGTAAAACTATATAATTAACTATCAATTCCCCAAATATCTCTCATCCCCCTTTCTAGTCTACAACGGCCCCTGTAATCTACAAGACCTTGAACCAATGGTTTGTTTTTTTACTAGACTTGAACATCATAAAAGTGGCAGTAAGATTTTTTTTCTGATTTTATTTGCTTTCTTGTTTCTAATCTATTTTTGAGACCTTCACACCCCCTTCAGATAACTGATGTGAATCTGAAGAATTTTTTTCTTGGATTTCTTGTAAGATGTTTTTAGATGTAATAGCTTTCTCTTCACTTGTGTTTATAAGGATAATGTTCTTTGTGTTTATTGTGAAATAAATATCATATAATGTAGATTTTTTTGGTGGACTTGTTTGCCGTTCAGCCTTGAAATATATTATTTCACTATCTTCTATCCTTTATTGGTCAAAGTGGAAAATTAACCATGTCTTTATTATCATTTCTATTTGTATCTTACTGGAAATTTTCACTTTTTCATTTTATGTCATCTTATCTTTAACTTCAATAGCTATGAACCTCTGGTGTTTAAAGATGTTTCATTGTGTTTTTCTGATCTATATATTATTGAATTTCAGTACATTTCAATTTTTTCCCGCTCCCTTTAGTCTCCTCTTTTAGTCTGACACACAGTTGCTGGCACTGTTCCTATTGAACTATATAGGACTCTTTGAGGTCTTCAGTCACTTTTTTAAAGTATTTTCTTCAGATTCCAGATATTCGATGGATTTTTT